ATACATTGTGTGTGTGTGTGTGTGTGTGTGTGTGGGGGGGGGGGGCTGTGAGTACAGCAACTTTTGGTCATCAGTAAGTGCCAACAAATATCTTTATTCTTCTACCTGCCAGCCCTCTGTCTGCATTTTGGGTCACAAACAAGACATTTTTCCTGTACAAGTCACAAAATGACAATTTTAAAAGCTGCTGGAAGGTCATGATGGAGCGATGGAGGACCTGCCGATTGCTTCACGACAGCGGAAATTTCAGTTGGAAGACCTGTGAAGTACCTCAACAAATGAAGCCACGAACATCCATAAAACAGCATGTTTTAAAGTATTAAGGCTATTTTTTTTTCCATTTTTGAAGATCTGATTTCTTGTCTATACTTCCTGGATTTGGAGGGGAAAATGACATTTAAAAACATATTTCCCCATCAGAGGTACATTTGTAATGTGTACCACACTTAGTCTGGTGGGAAGGTTTGGTCAAATGGTGAAAAAACAAACACCTTGTATCTTTTCATGGCTTTTCTGGAAACAGTCCCCAGCTAAATCAGGTGAAGGTGTCTTAAACAGTGCAAAGTCATTTATGGTTTATGCCCTTTATGACCAGATTCTATTAAATGTAAAATTTCACTTTGTACTTGTGTAAGCACATTTAAAATTAAGGTTGTTTTTCATTTTTGTACATAACTTTATAAACAGATTTTGCACAACTGCATAGTGTTAGGTTTATAGACTTATGGATTCTGGTCTAATCTGGGAAATTTAAAGACACATGACCTACTTGTTTTGTCAGTTTTGCTGTTTGTCTGTTTGGATTGGGATGATGTTATTTTGTTCGTTTTATAAAGCATGAGCCAGTATATCCTCTGCAAAACGAGGTAATGAAACACCTTTTCTTAGTATTTAGAGGCTCGACCAGTTTAACACAAAAATCTAGTCTGTAAAGAAGTAGTACCGCTTTGTGGCCCATAGAGGGCAGCAGCGAAATGCATTTACTGTCTCTGGGAAATCAGTCGAAGAAGTAAAGAGAGGAAACAAAAATGAGCTGCTGAACTTCAGCAGCAGAGGATGTCTGGTTTTATGAGTACTACAAACAAAATCACAGTCAGACATGTTCAGGCTGGAAACATTTGAGAGTCAGTTGTCGTCTGTGATGGAGACTCTGGTGGAGGCGGCCGTGACAGAGCTCGGGAGACTTCTGGAGAGGAGCTCGGCTCCGGTTGTGGCCGCTCAGCAGCGCTCAAATGCGGCTTCCGTAGTCGCCGTGAAGCGCGAGGATGAGGAGAGGGAGGTGACGCTACGCAGGCAACTCCTTCACGAGGATGTCACGGTAACCCCGCGGTCACGCGCGCACGGGAAATGTGTGCGGTTTCACTGATGACAGGAAATTTACTTTCCACTAGTTCCACTTACCCTTCTTAGCTTAAGTGTACGGTGTCCTAAAATGTATACCGTATAAGTGGCACAAATGAGCACTACGTCACCCAAAAGTCCAATCGTTTGTTTCCATGGCGACCACTCCAACAGAAATCCCATCTTAGAAGCTAATCATGAGTTAGCTTCTTCAGCCTGTCAGGGCAGATGAATGAATGAAACTTTGCTGCACATTTTGTTAAACTACAACGAACTACAAGCTCATGTTCACTCCATGGACAATTTATTAGTTACAGCTTACTAATAGTGGGTTGTAACCCATTTTCCCTGTAGAAATATCTTAATTCCTCATCTCATAGCTTCATGAAGTTGCTGGAAAAATCCCTTAGAGTTTTTGGTCCGTGGTAACATGATGGCACATCATGATGGCACAACCTTTGGAAGGTGGTGGAATGGGAGACTCGCATGTCTCCCATTCCACCACCTTACAAAGGTTCTCGATTGGATTGAGAGGTGGTGAATGTTGAGGCCATTTGAGTAAATGGTAAATGGCCTGTATTTATATAGCGCTTTACTAGTCCCTAAGGACCCCAAAGCGCTTTACATACCCAGTCATCCACCCATTCACACACACACATTCACACACTGGTGATGGCAAGCTACATTGTAGCCACAGCCACCCTGGGGCGCACTGACAGTGTACTGACAGTACAGTGAACTCATGCTCAGAGATGCTCTTCTGCACACATTAGTTGTAAAAAGTGGTTATTTGAGGTTTACCGTCCTATCCTGCCCATCCTCCTAGAGATGGTCATGTGCAAAACCCCAGTAGATTAGCATTTTCTTAAGTACTCAGGCCAGCCTGTGTGGCACCAACAACCTTGCAGCTCTGCTTAAATCACCTTTCTTCCTAATTCTGCTGATCTGTTTGAACTTCAGCAGATCATATTCATCATATCTAAATCCCTAACTTTAATGCAATACTGTTATGTGATTGGCTGACTATACATTTGCAATATCATTCTGTCTTTCCTGTGATTGTACAGAACCAGTTTGCTTCCCTGATGAAAAAGTGGGCTGAAGTTGCTGTGGAGAAAATCTCCTTAATTTTCAGTGTGTCCATGAGTGACGCCAGAGATGCTCCTGCTGCAGAGAAACCCAGAGCAGGGCAGATCGATACTGGGGGCAGAAAAAGTAAATAAGCTGATGGTTTATGAGGCTTTCAATGTTCTCACTCTGGGATTTCTTTGTATATTAAACTAGGCTTTTAACTTTTGTTGTGTAAAAACAGAATCTGTGTCCAGAAAGAGAAATAACATGCAAGGATCGCAACCAGCAACAAGACAGATGAGTGATCACTTATACTGTAGAGGTATTCAGCCAGTAACCAATAAAAAAAAAAGCACTTTTTCTAAATTAAATTTTGAAAACAGTTTGGAATTTTTTGTGTGTTTTCAGAGGAGGAACAGATCGAACAGTCAACAGATGAAGCTGACCCAGAATCTGTGCCAGAACCTGGTAACTATGTTTTCTTTACAAGTTACTGCAGCTGTTTTTATACACTCTTTACTATTTTAGGGCTCAAATAAAATTAAAAGAATATAAAATAATTTTAAAAATGTACATTTTTAATATTTTGTGGACAATCCTGAAATCTGGAGCCCTCGGACATCATCAGATAATGAGTTTCCTCCTTTGCGAGGCTTTATCAGGCCTCTACTTGAGCAGTCTTCAGGTGTCAGTCGTTGGTGTTTTTTTTTCTGCTCTTTAGTTTTCAGCAAGTGCAAAAAGCCACTGGGCTCAGAGAAGGTTGAATCACTTAGCCACTGCAAAATATTCCGCATCTTTACATTTCAATAGGTTCCGTCTTGTTCTCACAATGTTTTGGGCTATTTTCCATCTGCTTTGTGAAGCAATATCCAGTTAGTTTTGCTGTGCTCAGCTGAATCTGGCGTATGATTTTTGATATTCATACTTTCTTTTACCTTCTTTATTTATGAAGCTTTAATGAAGAGCTGCTCATGCTTGACCGTAAAACAACTGACTGAATTATGACTTTGTATTTGAGTCCCTGAAAACAGGACTGTGCAGTAATTATGGCTTTATTTTTCCAATATTTACGTTATAAAAATGCAAGCATTATCAGAACTTTAAGCACATAATCATGATGTAACTGCGATCTAACATATGTGTAGCACACAACTGTAATAGCAAAACTAGCTGCAGTGTCCAGATAAATGAATCAGGTTATACATTTAAACACAGTGGAATCCTCTGTTTAGGAGTTTGACTTTTTATAACAGCAATATTACTAAAGTAGCATGTTTGCAGTGTGGCATTAAAGTCTTTGAAATGGATAGGTTGGTGTTACTCTCTTGTTAGTTCTAGTGTTGTTTTTGTTTCAGCTGATCCAGCATCACATGAGGAAAATAGCTCTGAAGTCCTCTCTGAACCTGAAGTCACAATAGCAGATCCTGAACCAGTCTCCAGTGTCATTGAGGAAAATGGCGTCCAAAAAGACGCTGAGCATGAATGCACTGCTGTGAAAATCGGAAGGAACCATCCTAACAAGGACTTCACATGTCCTACGTGTGGCAAAGCATTTGCTCTGAAGTGTTTGATGAACAGACACTGCCTGACTCACTCCAAGCCTCACCTTTGCTCTGAGTGCGGCAAGCGCTTTGCCGGACTCCGTGGGCTCATTGCACATTCGAGAAAGCACACCGGGGAGAAGCTTTACAAATGCTCCAAGTGCGGAACGGAATTTGCGTACAAATCAACCTTCCACAGGCACATGCGTCAGCACAACCTAAACAAACCGATCACCCACACGTGCTCGCTGTGCGAGGAGCAGTTCACGGGGAAACAGGCGTTTCAGCGACACATTTGTTGCGCGTTGAAGAAGACATTTGTTTGCTCACTTTGCCCAGAGACCTTCGAGTGCAGGCAGAGCTTGGACGATCATGAGAATCTTCATTCAGGAAACAGAGATTTTGTCTGCAAAATGTGCGGCAAGACCTTCTTCTCGTCCGCATCTTTGGCCGCTCACCGAGTTACCCACACACAAAAGGAAAACTGCGAGGTGCTCAGCCTCAGTTTCAGTGACACGAGCAAAAACGCCGGAGAAAAGCTTTTCACCTGCGAGGTGTGTGGCAAAGGATGCAGTCACAGGAGCGCCCTGAAGCATCACATGCTGATCCACACGGGCGAGAGGCCATACGTCTGCGAGACCTGCGGCAAACGCTGTGGACACGCCAGTGCACTTCAGAACCACATGAGGATCCACACGGGCAAGAAACCAGGAGAGAAGCCCGTCTGCAACGTGTGCGGCAAGAAATTCCGCTGCATGGTCAATCTCAAGTATCACACGAGTGTGCACACGGGGGAAAGGCCGTACGCCTGCGATCAGTGCGACAAGAGATTCAGCAACCCGAGCAATCTGAAGATGCACATGATGACGCACTCAGAGGAAAAGATGCACAGCTGCAGCATCTGTGGCAGGAAGTTCACGCAGCTCTACAGCCTGAAGCTGCACAGGCAGGTGCACGCGGGAGAACGGCCATATCACTGCGTCGTCTGTGGGAAAACTTTCATAACCAACAGCGTGTTCAGGACCCATCAGAAGGTTCACCTGCAGGAGGCAGGACAGGGGCAGACTGGAAAAACTGCAGTGAAAATCTAAAACACTCTGTGAGGTCACTTCTTGTACTGGTTATTGGTTTAAACTCTTTCTAATGGCCAGCAGGGGGCAACTCCTCTGGTTGTAGGAAGCCATCCAGTTTAATAGGAGTTTAATAGTTTCAGGTCATACTGAATAAAGCATGAACCTACTTCTGTTAAATACGGTCATTATTAGAGTCAGAAAGGATGATAATCTAGGACATGTTCTTGAGATGATGTTCTGAAAAGGACGAAGGAAAGAATTGCAATGACTGACCAGCTCAGAGACAGTTGGCACAAAGGTCACCTGATCAGAGTAGTAACGATAAAAGTGAGAATGAGGAGAGTTTGACGGTATCGAAGTGGCAAACAACCTAAACAGAAGAGAGCAGGTAAATGAGAGATCAAGTCCAAGTTTCATCACTGATTAACGACACAGATGCTTCACCAGAAGGACTGTGTTAGAGAACCTAACAAAGGTTGGTGGGGTTAAAGTTAACTCTTAAACTTGGGCATGACGATTTTGGTGAAAATACTTTTACTGTATAATTAAATGAAAGCTTATATTCACAAATGAAGCAATTTGATTTCTGTCTGCCTACAGAGAATCATTAAAGTACCCACTTTGTTCAAATTAACTTCTTCAAAGTTAAACATTTTTTAACGAGTGGTACGTCTTCATTAGCAGCTGCTGACTCTAAGTTTCCTTTTAAAGCAGAGCTCGCTCTCAGTTTAATATATTTTTTTCACTCGATCGGTTTTACTGGAATTACACGAATTACTTACATGTTGGTAATTTCCTTTGTCATTAAACAAAGGAGGAAGTAAATAGGGAAAATGGGGAAAATAAAGAAAGCAGATAACTGAAGCGAATTAGCACTTCTTCATTGTGCCTGAAACCTTATAAAAAAACTATCAGGAAGATACACAAGCCTGAGGGGGAGTCTTGACATTTGGTGGCTTTTAACTCAATAATAGTTACACTGCAGTTTTTTAGTTTCAGTTTTTTGTGCTGTTGTGAAATTTTCCTCACAGTCCACTGTTAGTGGTATTATAATAAGTGGAAGTGATCCAAGCGTTCCATCACCAAAACCAAATGCAAAGCGTTGGATAAAGTGGTTGCAGTGGAGTAAACCACACTGCCACTGGACTGTAGGGTAATGGAGATGTGTTCTTTGGAGTAACAAATCACGCCTCTCCATCTGACAATCTGATGGACATGTCTGGGTGCGGTCGTTGCCAGGAGACCGTACATGTCTAACTGCATTGTGCCAAGTGTAAAGTTTGGTGGAGGGGTGATTATGTTGGGGCTGTTTTTCAGGAGTTGGGCTCGGCCCCTTAGCTCCAACTCATTTTAGACAATTTAATTTTCCTAACTTTCTGGAACAGTCTGGGGATCGCCCCTTCCTCCTCTACCATGACTGCAGATCGATGCACAAAGCGAGGTCCATAAAGACATAGATGAGTGAGTTTGGTGGGGAAGAACTTGACTGGCCTGCACAGAGTTCTACCTCAAGCTGACACCTTTGAACACCTTTGGGCTGAGTTACAGTGGAGACTGCGAGCCAGGTCTTCTGTCCAGCATCAATGTCTGACTTCATAAATGCACTTCTAGAAGAACAGTGAGAAATTCCCATAAACACTCCTAAACTGTGTGGAAAGGCTTCAAAGAAGAGTTGAAGCTTCTTTAGGTCTTGTGAAGGTGGCAAACATACTGCAGGTGGTCCAGAGCAACATAGCTTTGGATGAAGAGGATGGCTTCCTGGTGGAGATGAAGTTAAATACGTATGATGCTTAAGCCATAGACTGTATAAAAGATACATCGGAACCACTTTTTTGTTTTTGGAGCAAGAAGTGAGCATACTTATCTACAAGAGGTCAAAGTGCTGAAGTTATTTGCTAACTCCAGCAACCTGGATTCATAATGCACAGACTGCTGTTGGATAATCCACACAATGTGGACTCTTTACCTTCATCTGAATGGAAAATGTCATAAGGTCAAAGAAAGCCATGAAGGAGGATTAATGAAGATATAGGAAAAGAGAATCAACTGCACTTCACTAGGTTACTAGTATAGCTAGCTCGGTTACGAACAATTTAAATATTGCCCTTTTTGTTTAATCTTCAAGTGTGAATCTCTATAATGGCTAAAAAAATCATCATATAATACAATCTAACAGTGACAAAATTCCTCAAGCCACATATTTGTGTAGTTATAGATGCATTTTTGAAGAAATACATTGAAAAATAATGTAAATATGTGACCTTCCCTAATATTTACATCTTCATATTTAATATTTTTGTGATCATTGCTGATTACACGGAGCTAAGAAAAGTAATTAAGTTGTTTAGAAATATTTAAATGAGTGTCACTGAATCCAGACCTATTAAAGTGAGTCACTGTGCTCTGTTATGTCATCCACTAGATGGAGGTAGAGGCTCAACACAAGAAGCTACAGCAGTAACATTCAGCTCCACTAAGGTGCAACATGATGCTCCTTCAGAGACTGTATGATTATCTGTTGATACTGTCTAACATATTGCTACACAGTGACCTTTAGCAGCTTTACCTTGGCAATGGATCTATTAGAAATCTATGAAACCTGTCCAGCTGTAAAATCTGTGTTTGAGTTAAAGAACTTGGGACTTTCTAGTTATTTATTATTATTGTTTTCTTCTTGCAGCTATTTTAACATTTATCACTTTTGTTTATGTCTTTTCTTTCAAATATTTCAAGGTAAAGGCAAAAACACAGAAATTCAAAACTTTTCCTTTTTAGGTCAATTGAAGATTAAGCAAAGTCTGAAAGGTTGCTGCCAGAAGAAACTTTATTTCTTGAAAACATGAAAAATAGTGCAGAATTCTGGTTTCTCGTGGCTGGAACAGCGCTGAGTATTTCCCTGTGTGAGTCCTGCACTAAGCGGGTCACACGCTTCTAATACCAGTTTATTGCATTTAGTCTAACCTTTCTGAGAGCTCTGCTTAATGCGGCTAAGAATTCAGTGTTTTCACAGAGATTAAACTCCCACTGGCTCAGAGGTGAAGTTCTCTTAGCAGGACCTGTGTTTAAAGGAAATGTAAGACACACAGTGTTCCTCATTTAGTTTATTATCTGAACAACTGAATATTGATTATGCAAAAAAATATATATACGTATGTAAGTTATGGATATTATATATATTAAGGACCAACTACTGTCTGACAGCTGCTGGACAGTGGTGACTATGGCGGTAGTACTTTTGATTCAGCGCATTTAGTAAAGTTAAATGTGAAGGAATTCATTCATATGCTCAAAAAAGTGTTTTAGTTCAAACACGCCCAGCTAACTATCCAATAGTTACTAGAGATGGACCGATCCGATATTACGTATCGGTATCGGTCCGATACTGACCTAAATTACTGGATCGGATATCGGAGAAAAATAAAAAATGTAATCCGATCCATTAAATATCACGAAAGCACCTCACAAAACTTGCAACGCGCCGTAACTCGCCTCAGAACGTTAACACGTCGGAGCAGTATGCATCACGTGATAGAGCGGCTGTGGCATGCGGGACCTGTCGGTGGTCCGGATAGCATGTGGAACTTCGCTAGCAACCCGGCATTTCATCTCCGACAAAGTTATCCCCGAGAGAAGTAAAGCAAGTGTGTAAGTCCATCTCTGAATGTTTGTAAAGCATTCCTGCGTTAAGCTTAACAAACGATATAGGGAGCGACTGCCTCTTCTTGCTGCTACTTCAATCATGAAACTGCTTAACGATCAGCTGATCGGCTTTTCTTTCGCGAGTCCGTGTCTCTTGTTTGCTTTTGGCCCACTTTGCACCAGAAAGAGGAAACCAGCGGCTGAACAGCAGCAGCATGTTTAAGCTTGATAAGCTGTTGTTAGAATTTATTTAATATTACTTTCTACACCAGGATCTTTTTCTACGTAGCTGACGGCTGTAACTGTGCAGGGGCAGATCTAGCAAAGTTTAGCCAGGGGGGCCGATAGGGCATGAACAGGGAAAAGGGGCACAAAGACACACTTTTCTTTATTCTCATTTAAAATGTCTAGCTTTTAATAAATAATTATCCGAATCTTACACCCAAAGTTTTAATTTGATGTAAAATGAATAGAAGTCAATTACTGTATATAGTGACTATTAAGTCTAATATATATACCCTTGTAAGCTATAGTACTTTTTCCTTTGGGAAGGTACCATCTGTGCAGTCTGCAATTTTGTTGAAGAAAGATGTTGAATCTATTTAATATTTCTTGAAAAATAATTTATTTCTGTGCATTTTTTTTTACACTGCATCAAATTAAGGTTGATTACGTCGATTAAGCATCATGAGGTGGAGCGTGAGGGGTGGTTTTGTTGTCAACAGTTTTGTTGATTAAAAAACACTATATCAGATTCATATCGGTATCGGCAGATATCCAAATTTATGATATCGGTATCGGTATCGGACATAAAAAAGTGGTATCGTGCCATCTCTAATAGTTACTAATTTTAAAGTATTACTTTGCTGTTTGTGCCGCACATTTTAATCTTTTAGGATAAATTTCATGTGGTGGATTTAGTGTTAAACAGTGGCTGTAATCAGTGTTTTTATGCTGACAACAAAATGTATGAACACATTTGTTTTTGGGTTAGTGGCATTGCTTCAAATAAATGTGTCAAATTCTTTGACTACCAAAAATATATCACTTATACTACTGAAAGGTTCTGTTTTTTCACTATAACTATATAAATTTCGTTTTTTGTGGGTTTTTTTTTTCCACATTATAGACCCACAGTTTAAAAAAAAAAAGTTAAAAAAGGAAAAAACAAACAAACCCCAATGTGAATAACAAGAACTTTGTGCTTTATAATATACGACAGTTTGGTAAAAAAGCTTCCAGAACTTTTTTCGTACTTTTATACATTTATTTCTCCTTTTATTTACTACAGCTGTCACGGTTCTGGGTCATTTTGACCCAGTATTTTGAGTTCTCGTGTTTTGGTTTAATTTTGTATTTTGTGTATATTCTGACTGTTGTGCCTTGTTGATTATTATTAGAATTCTACGTTTCAGTTTATTCTGTTTTAGGGTTTAGTTCTTAGGTGTTGTTCTTATGCCCTCATGTTTAGTTTAGGTTTAGTTCTGTGCTTAGTCTTCTCTGCCTGTGTGTTCCCTCTGTGTAAAGTCTGTGTTTCTTATTCTGTGTCCTTGTGAATTGTTTCCTGTTTTATCTTGAAGGGTTATGTCAGTGTTTCTAGCTTTGCTCCCCCTGTCTCGTTAGGTCTTATTTCTCCCAGCTGTGTTCCCCTTCTGTCTCGTTCCCTCGTCCCTCGTGTATTTAAGCCTTGCGTTTCCCTCTGTTGGTGGCTGGTTCATCTGCGTGTCTACCCCTGTATTTCTGTTGTGTCTTTCTCCATGTTCCACGTCTCAGGTTTTCATATTTCAGGTTTCTCGTTGCAGGTTTTTGATCCTTTCATTATTATTTTGTAGCTGTTCCCTGTTTAGGTTTTTGTTAGCGTAGTTCCCTGCAGTGCTCTGCTTTGGTTTATATTATGCCTTTCATTGTTAATAAACTTTCTCACAGCTACGCTGTTGTCCATGCTTGCGTTTGGGTCCAAATCCTCCTTCTTTACACTCGATGTAAAATGAGTTAGAAATCCCTGGATTAAACGATTAAGCCATTATTCTTATTGTATTAATGTAAAACTGTAACTGTGTCTAAGACATTTCAAATCATACTGCAAAAACAGCGTCACCTACAGTGACAAGTGGCAAGATTGGATTTATTCCCTATTAAACACAATTTAGATGAGATGGTTGACCTGGTCAGTTATTAGTCAAGACTAGCACTGGCTAGCTAGTTTGGTTACCAAGTTAATAGGGAAAAATCTGTATTGTGTGGCCAGTTGTTGAGTTGTTTCTGGCTGTTAGTGGGTGAAACAAAAGTGACATTACAAATGTGTGATTGCTTTAGTCACTAGCAGATTGTCTGGTCACCTGTAGTTTGCATGGAGATGCCAACTCCTCCCTGAATGCTCGCCAACTAACCACCTAGCTACTACCAAAACCAAAATCTTTTAAAAACCCAAAGCTTTTACCTTGAAGGAAAATATGCTGCATTTCCAGTTTGCATCGGACTGCTTCAGATTTCACTGGAACTCAGAAAGTAAATGGCAAATGTTTGGAGAGAAGTCAGCATCTTCCATGCCGACTACTAAGTCAGTAACCAGGTTCTGGGCCTTTTTGGTGATGAACAGTCATACAAGTTATAGTAATATACGCAGTTGTCATGAATAGAAAATTAATTGTTTATTTATACTGTAAAGTTGTGCATTTTAACATGGGAGTCAGTGGAAATTCACTCTGTTTTGTAGTCGGCCTCAAGTGGCCATTTGGGGAACTGCAGTTTTCTTAAGCGGTTTCATTAATTAAAGTAATTTAAAATGTTTACTTACATGCCTATCTGTGTATTTGATTTGGTAAGACTTGTAAATACCACTGTAAATAACCGTATCTTTTAGCCTTGAAAAAGAAGTACAAAGTCACTGTGATTTCACACACTGATTTGTGGAATACTGTTTTGAAGATTGAGGTTTGTCAGTAGCAATGTGCAAGTGATTTAAAACTAGTGACAGAGACCATAAAATTACTAGCACAATTTTTACTGAAGAGATAAATCAAACAATAAGTAGGCTAACTTTCTATAACCATTATCTTTTGTTTTGGTTTCTTTCTGCTCCAGCTGGTCAGGAGAAATAATGCAGGTTTCAGGCACTTCTAGACTGTCATCTTGGTTTAGACTCAGGGTCTATGTTCATCTTTTATATACAGTCCAATATACAGCAATAACCGATAATTTGAAATGATGCTGTCTGCCAGATTGACCTCCAGCAACCTTCATTTCTTGCCCACTGTGGCTCCCTATGTGCTGTCTAACTGTGATTAATGGTAGGCGGTTTCAGGGGTCACTACCCTGACAGTTAGCTGAAGCCATGTGGTTGTGCCACTGACTTCAGAGTGATGAACTGTTGGGACAGAACAGGCCATCAGCATGCAGGGAGAGGTGCTTTCCTCCCGATCATTTGATCCAAGTTCCAGATTTAGTAGCAGGTTATCATACCTTCACTATCAAAGCAGCATTTTGGAGGGACCCATCTACAGATAAGAAGAGAGAAAAGGTGGTTTCTTCGTTTGAGCTTAATTTAAAAACTCAGTCATGGATGAAGGGTTGAGTAAGTGATTGACTGGATACATAAACAAATGACTGGGTAAATAAAAAGTCTGTGTGTGGATGGATGTAAGGGTGTGTGACAGATAGACAGTTGGATGGAAAATTAATTTAAGATGGGGAAAAACTGAACTGGTAATTGAGAGACTTAGTAGTGTAGACAAAAGAATAATAGATGGTTGGAAGAATTAATTTGAGTTTAACAG